AGGCCTGGGTTCAAATTCTGGATATGTTATTCACCACCTGCATGGACCTTGGATTTTACCTATCTGTGAACCTTGGTTTCCTTCTCAGTAACATGAGGGGGTTGGACTAGCTGACCTTTGAGACCTCTTCTAACCCTAAACCTTTAATATATCTTATGAATCCCAGATGTGTGCCTCAGTTTCCCCTTCTTCCTTGCCTCCCCTATAAAATGAAAAGTTTTGACTAGACCCTCTATGGTGCCTTCTGGCTCTAAATCTATGTTTCTAAAGTGTATGGATTTAGGGCACAGGCTTTGGGATAGCTGTTGTGGCTTCTCAGAGACTTCTTTTGCTTCCTTCATCCATGTCTGTAGAATTAACATCTCTACAACATTTTAAGGTTAGAAAAAGCACTTTCCTTGCAAAAACCCTGTAAGACAGGTAATGCAAATATGACTCCATTTGACAGATGAAGCAGCTGACGGGGCCCAGATGTGTTAAGTGACTGTTTGGTGTAGTGAAGACAGCACGTGAGATTTAGAGTCAGCAGACCTAGGCAATTCTATTTATTACCTGTGTGATCTTGAGTATATAATTTCTATGTTCTGTGCCTCAGTTTCCTTATCTGTAAAATGAAGGAGTTCTAGTGGATGACCACTGGGGTGCCGTTCTAAGTTCAATGATCCTCTTGCAGTGAGTGTCAGTCAATAAACATTTATTAAACACCTATTAAGCACTATGCTAAGCTCTGGGAATATGAAGAAAGGTAAAAGACAGTCCCTGCTCTCAAGAAGTTTTCAATCTAATGGGAGAAACAGCGTGCAAACAACCATGGACTAGCAAAAGGTATACAAGATAAATTGGAAGTGATCAACAGAGGGAAAGCACACAAAGGGAATCAAGAAAGACTTCCTTAGAGCACCAGCCCTGGAGTCAGGAGGACCTGAGTTCAAATCCGGTCTCAGACCAGACACTTGACACTTACTAGCTGTGTGACCCTGGGCAAGTCACTTAACCCCAATTGCCTAAAAAAAAAAAAAAGAAAGACTTCTTGTAGAAAGTGGGATTTTAGCTGGAACTTGAAGGAAGCCAGGGATACTGGGAGCCGGAGGATGAGGTGGGAGAACAGTCTAGGCCAGAGAAAATGCCCAGAGTTGGGAGATGGAGTGTCTCAGGGCTGGGGATTGATAATAACAGCACCTACCTCATAGGGTTTTGGGAAACTCAGAGGAGATAATATATGTAAAGTGCTTTGCAAGCCTTAAAGCATGTTATAAGCGTTCACTTTAATCATCTGAATTTAGGTCTCTAAATGTCCTATCCATCCCACCACCCTGCCTTTTCATCCATCTCACTGAATCTACTTCACAGGACAACTGAGCCTCCCCATCTCTCCCCTCCAATTCCTCCACATACACCATAACTCCTACAATACCAAGATAAGTGAGAGACTGATAAGCCAGCATTTAAGCATCTTCAGGGAGGTACTCAAAAGAACTAGTTATCAGTGTAAGCTTGGACAAGTCACCTAATATCTCCACACCTCAGTTTCCTAATATGTAAAATGGGATGGTTGGGCCAAGTGATCTCTAATAAAATTTTATGATTCTGTGTAATTGTTGAGCAGATGGATGTTCATGATCTTTGAAAAATCAGAATCAGGGGGGCAGCAAGGTGGCGCAGTGGATAGAGCACCGGCCCTAGAGTCAGGAGGACCTGAGTTCAAATCTGGTCTCAGATACGTAACATTTACTAGCTGTGTGACTCTGGGCGAGTCACTTAACCCCCAATTGCCTCACCAAAAAAAAAAGAAAGAAAGAAAGAAAGAAAAAGAAAAATCAGAATCAGAATCAGAGAGTTAAAGAGGTGCCCCATGATCAGGGAGTTCTCTCATTTCCTAAAAAAGATAAAGGATGGAGTCTTCATTCTACATGCTGACTAACTTGACTTTGGTTCCTCAACTCCGTCTGAATCACCAGACCTTTATCTCCAGTTATAGAGAAAGCATAGTGTGGTCCACCCCTGGGTGCTCTGAACTGTTTTCATAATAATACTAAGACACGATTTACTTACTAAAACACTTTTCCCTTTTCCAACTACATATCTGTGTGAGGCTGGATTTTCTTCCAATACTTCAAGCAAAAAAGCATATCACAACAGATTGAATGCAGAAGCAAATAGGAGAATTCAGCATTAAACCAGAAATTAAAGGGATTCACAAAAATATGTGAAACAATGCCCCTCTTCTTACTAAATATTTTGTTTTGAAAATATAGCAATTTTTCATTTACTTATATTTACATGTAATGGGTTTCTCATTGCAATTTTTAAATGAATTAAGAGATATTTAAAAACTGTCAGTTTTCAATTCTATTACAATAAATATAACCCATATAAATAGAAGCTCTTTGAGGTCCTCAATTTTTTTTATAATTTTTTTTATAATTTATAATTTTATATATATAATTATATAATTATATAAAATTATATAAATTATATAATTTATAATTTTTTAAATAATTTTTAAGGATGTAAAAGGATCCTGAGACCAAAAAGTTTGAGAACTGCTGGTCTAGATCATAGATTTAAAGCTGAAAGGAACTTTCACAGGTCATCTGATCCAACTAGCTTATTTCACAGATGAGGAAAGAGCTCATTAATTTTTTCCCCAAACCTCGTTCTGTGACATCGCTGTTCGCCCAGGCTCCTTGTCACCAATGACTCTCACTTTTAAAATTTTTTTTTCTTTTGCTGTGAATTTAGCAATCATCAACAAACATTTTAGCTCATTAATTTTTTTGGCAAATGGAACTGACCACAGTATACCCCTCCTCAAAAGCCTGCTGGGTCTACTTTTCTCTGGGAGTAAATTCAGACCATTAGCCCAGCTTTCAGACCTTCCCCAATCTGGCCCCACCCTACCTGTGACAATTTACCCAAACTCCTCCTCTCTATAGTCTAGGCTTCAGTCAAACTGGGTGTCTGCACTTTTCAATGCTTTTGTGAAATGCCTTTTCACATGGAATGTCATTCCTAATCTTTGCCTGTTGAATTCTCATCTATTTTTTTTAAATCCAACCTAAATGTCATGTCCCCCAGGTGGTATGCCCTGACTCCTGTATATGATCTTTCTCCACTTCCATCCTCACAGCAGGACTCCAGTCTACTCTTGTGTCCTTAGACTGAGCTCCCCAATTTATAGCTCAAATCCACTCCTCCAGTATCTCCCTTCCCCTTCTATCTGTGAACTCTTCAGGACAGGGCCCAGGTCTCCTCCTCTACCTCCTGTGCAACCCCATGATATGCTAGAAAGAAGCAATGTGGCAAAATGGGTAGTGCTGTATTTCTCCATCCAGTGACAAAGAGGCAGTAGGGATTTAAAGCAGCCAAGCCAGACCTCCCAATGTAGACATTTGAATCCTACTTCAGATAGTGGCTAAGCAAGTCAATTGCCAGTTTCCTTCTTGGTGATTTGAAGGCCTTCATTCTGCAGAGGACCATGACATCAGGGAGGTGATGCTATGACATGCAAATGAATAGGATTTAAGTGAGGCAGGGTTGTGCAACTTCACCAGCCTCACTTTCTCCTCCAGAGCCATCTGGGTCCAGTGGCAAGATATAGACCAGAAAGATTGGAGATGGTCCTGGATGCAGTGGGATACCTTGACCTTTTCAAGCTAAGGTCTTTAACAGGTCTCAAAATGTGGATAACCATTGGAGTTTTAAGTCACAGGGTAAGCATTAGGCTCCAGAGAGATAAAGCTGGTCTTTGTTCTTAGAATCTGCATTTGACCAGAGCTTTCTTAATCATCCCACCCACCACACACACACACACACCCCTTCACCAAAATGGAGAATGTACTGAAGAGAAAGAGAAACCTAGAATGTCTCCATTACAGACCCCTGCTAAGGGCTCAAAGTTCATATCCCAGGATCAGAGTCAAAATCAAAAGGGACCTTAGAAGTCATCTGGTCCAACCTCCTTATTTCACTGATGAGGAACCTGAGGCCCCAAATGATTGTCACAAAAGATGAAATTGATGTCACTTCATTTTATTTGTCCTCTTTCAGGATTCAGGGATCCTGTGGCTGCCTTTCCATGTCTACATTTTGTGATGTAAGACCTAGACAGTGGAAAGATACCTGGATGTATTCATCGGATTGGAGATATCGAGCTGAAAGGGTCCTCAGAGGATACCTAGTCCAAACCTCTCATTTCATAGATGAAGAAACTGAGGCACAGGGATGTTAGGAGACCCAGGTTCAAATCCCAGCTCTAATATTTTAATATTTAATAATTTAATTTTAATATTTAAGTCTTTTGAGCTTGGATGAGTCATTGAAAGTTTCTGAGCCTCAGTTTCCACATATATAAAAAAGGGATAATAACGTGTGTTTTGAGGAAAATGTGTCTTAACCAAAACAAGGGTGTTTTGAGGAAAGTGTTTTGTGCACCTTGAAGTACCATAGAGCAGAAAGCTAATATTCTCTCCTCTGAACTCCTAGAAAGAGGTTACTTTCTGCACTATACAGAGAGCACAGACCACATTCTGCCTTTTATTATGTAGATTTATGTATCCTGGGCTGGTGTCTCCCCTCCCACCTACTGCAATGCAAATTCCTGGAGGGCAGAGAGAGCTCTGAATTATCTCTCAGAACCTAGTCTCTCTCTCTCTCTCTCTCTCTCTCTCTCTCTCTCTCTCTCTCTCTCCCCCACCTCTCTTTGTCTCTGTCTCTCTCTCTCCCACCCCCATTCCTCTTTCTCCTCTTCCCTCCCTCTCCTCATAGGAGTCATTGCTTCCCAATCATTCTTCCCTCATAGAAAGTAAACCCCTTGTGGGCAGGAACCATTTCATTTTTATCCTTGTATTTTGAGTTCCCTGCCCACAGAACACATGAAATAAATGTTGCTTGATTAATTGTTTGCAAAGGAAGCACCATATAAACGCAAGTTTTTGTTACTGTTTTCAAAAGCAAAAAAATTCATTAAACAGAAACATTAACAATAGATGTATCTTTTATTCACAAGTAAAAGTGGGGATGCCATGTTATCATACACATTTATACAAAGGCTCATAAAACCCCTATAAATCAAAATGGTCAGAAAATATGATTCATATGAAATGGGACCTTACATACAGTATTCAACCCTGGGAAAAGTTTGTTTTCTTTTTCCTTTTTTCCTCATTTGGCAACAAATGATTGACCCAGGGGTCCCCCACCAGGGGACTTCTGGGCCAGCCTCTTTCCCTCCCACTTCCCCCCATACCCCCCTCCATCCTCAGCACAAACTCATGCAGCCATCCATCCCACTCATGTCCTGAGCATTCATTCATCATTACAAAAACTGGGAAAAGGTTGATTTTTTTGAATCCAAAATTTTTGATGCAAATATTGGCTTTATGGTCAAAACGATAGAAAAATATGAACCTAATGAAACATTTACAAAACTCTTCCCCCCAACTTTTTTTTTTTGCTGGTTTATTTTGGTAAGAAATTGGAGGCTCTATTCCTGCCACTGAAGAAGGCTCTCGGTGCTTTTTGCTAAGCCCTTGGCCACTGCTTTCCCCAAAGGGGAAGAACAGGTTTATAGAAAATGAGGTTAATTCAACCACGGATGAGCTCATTCCATAGTTAACAGTCCCCCTTGGCCCCAAACATACTTCAATCACATGTTTATTTTCATCCATGTGGGTCCTCCAACAACATAGTTCCCAACCCCTCTTAGAATTTTAGTAGACAGTCTTTATGAGTTGCTGTGCATCCCAACCCCCAAAAGAAAATTCCATCCCCTGATGGCTGATCCTCTGGTGATGAGCCCTGGCCCTCAGCCCCCAAACTACCATGGAGGCTGGTACTCAAAGCTTTTCTAGCTTGGCTAGCTCTACACACACAGGCTTCAAAAGTCTAGGGATCACCTCCACACCACAATGAGGCATCACACAAGGATGGCAGGAAACGTCCAGTTTAAAAAAAAAAATCAACCGAAGTAAAAGCCAATCTTAGTTCTGCTCCAAGGAGGGAATGAAAACTAGTCCTTGTCAGAGCTCATTCCATGCCCTTTGGAAAGATAAAAACACCCATAAAAATATCTTGGATCCAAACCCCGAATCAGTCTTCTGGCCATTGAAGTTTTGCTACATCAAACCACTTTTCTAGGAAACCAGAAGGCAAAGCCTGGAGGAAATAGTCATGTGCTTATTGCTCTCATTACTACGTTTTCATACGGGGTCAGAAATACATGATACAATATCAAGGTTCTATAGGAAAACATCTGATGCCTGGGCTGCTGGCTTCCAAATTTCTAGCACCAAAGGGAGAGAAAAAAAAAAAATCCAATTAACATGAAAGGCACTTGGCATTGCTAGGGGAATGTCTGTTGGTGTTCTCAATCCTCAGTTCCTGTCTGTCTGTCTGTCCGTCTGTCCGTCCGTCCGTCAGTCAGGCATGGTTCGTTCTCACTCTCTGTACAGTTTGGTCTTGAATGAGGCACCATGTTGATTGTGAAACATTCCAGTTCCTTGTCCACATCCATCCCCTCTCTCCCTCCCACTTTCCCGCCCCACTGTTCCTTTCACTTCTACATTCCTGTTCCCCTTGTCACTTCCTTGTGGCGTTGCAACCTTGGTACAACCAGGCATCGCCCTGGATTCTGTTTTCTGTCCCTTCCCTTGCCTCATCCCTTTCCTATCCCATTCCTGTCCCATCCTCTCCATTCTGGTCTGCTCTCAAACTTCTACTTCCTGTACGTCTGATACGCCAATGTCAAAGCAGGTGACGATCATGACGTGAGCTTTGCACACGTTCACACAGTGCTCCAGGTCCTCCGTAGCTTGTTCAAGAGCCTCCAGGTATTCCTCGGACTCTTTGTCCAGCTCTGAGTCCACCTCAACTGCAAATCAAAATTAAAAAGGGGGTCAGAACATTGGGTCTCCAGGTGCCCCCTATGAAAGTCTCCCTGAGGGCAAAGGAAATAGGAGTACAACCAAAAATCACCTACCCAGACAAACTGAGTATAATCCTGCAGAGGGAAAAATGGTAATTCAGTGAAATAGAGGACTTTCAAGCATTCTTGATGAAAAGACCAGAGCTGAACAGAAAATTTGATTTTCAAATACAAGACTCAAGTGGAACATGAAGAGGTAAACAGTAAAGAGAAAATCGTAAGAGACATATTATGGTTGAACTGTTTATATTCCCGCATGGAAAGATGATATTTGTAACTCATGAGACCTTTGTCAGTATTAGAGTAGTTGGAGGAGAAAAAGTTATATGTACGTATATATAGATATAGATCGATAGATAGATAGATACATAGATAGATTGCTTGATAGATAGATAGAAAGAGCGTACAGGGTGAGTTGAAAATGAAGGGGTCATATCTGGAGAATAAAATTAAGGGGTGAGAGAGGATTATACTAGGAGAAGGAGAAAGGGAGAGGTAGAACGAGGTAAATTATCTCACAAAAAAAAAAACAGAAAAGAAAAGGCTCTTACAGTGGAGGGGAAATGGGGGAAGATGAGAGGGAATGAGTGAATATTATTTTCATAGAATTTGATGTAAGGAGGGAATAACATACACACTCAACTGGGTATGGAAATCTGTCTTACCCTGAAGGAAAATGGGGGGGGGGGGGAAGGGGACAAGAGAGTAGGGGGATGATAGAGAGAGAGGGAAAGGGGGTAATCAGAAGCAAATACTTCTGAGGAGGGACAGGGTCAAAGAGAGAATAGAATAAATGGGTGGGCGGGATAGGATTAAGGGAAAGAGAGTTAGTTTTTCACAGCATGTCTACTATGGAAGTGTTTTGCATGACTGAACATGTACAACCTATATTTAGTCACTTGCCTTATCAATGAGGGTGGGCGGGGAGGGAGGAAGGGAGAAAATTTGGAACCCAAAGTTTTAAAAACACATGTTTTAAAAAAATGTTTTCACATGCAACTGGGAAATAAGAAATATAGTAAATGGGGTACAGAAATCCATCCTGCCCTACAGGAAAATTGAAGGGGAAGTGGATAAGAGAAGTGGGGGAGAGATAGAAGGGAAGGCAGACTAAGGGAAGGGGTATTCAGAATGCATGCCATCTGGGGTGGGGGGAGGGGTGAGATGGGGTGAAAATTTGGAACTCAAAATCTTGTGGAAGTAAATGTTGAAAAAAAATAAATAATAAATAAATGTTTTAAAAAAAAGAAAAAAAATCATCATATCTACTTGTTTGAATGCAGAATAAAAATGCTAATAAATTTTTTTAAAAAGTCTCCCTGCCTCCACTACAATCCATCCTCCACTCAGCTGTTTGATCTTGTCATCCCCATATTCAATAAACACCCTAGGTTCCTCCATCTCCTAACTAACTCCCATTGTTTTCACTGCCTCTCCCTGATTCTTGGAACTCTTTTCCTCCTCCTCTCTGTCTCCCAGCTTCCCTGATTTCCTTCAATCCCATTTACTGCAGGAGGCCTTTCCCAGTTGTGCCTACCTTGCCCTCCCACTTCCCTGAGACTTTCATTAACACAGTATAGATTTCACATGTACATAGTTATTTGCATGTTGCACAACATGTCTGAGGGCAACGATTGTGTTTTTCTATTTCTTCCTACAGCGTCTTCACCCCTGAGACAATCTCCACACCCACTGGAAACTTAGACTGGCTCTACCAGCTTTGATAGGTGAACCTCTTTGCCTTGTCTTGTAGAAAACCAAGCTTCCCTACCACTTCTTTCAGTAACATCTCCTTACCTCTCCACTCTCACCTTCAGTCCCTGCTTTCCAACATCCCATTATGTGTCTTCCCCATTAGAATGTAAGCTCCTTGAGGGCAAGGAATGATTAACAAGCTTTTATTTGTAATTTCATACTGAGCACTGTGCTTAGTACAAAGTAAGCACTTAGTAAGTGTTCTATCATCCATCCACCCATCTATCTATCTATCTATTTATCTATCTATCTATCTATCTATCTATCTATCTATCTATCTATTTGTCTATCTATCTGTCTGTCTATCTAGTCATCTGTTGACCCATATATCTATCCATCCATCCATCCATCCACCCATCCATCTATTCATCTATCTATTCAGAAATCTATCTATTCATCTATCCATTCATCTATCCATCCATTCATCTATCTGTCTATCCATCTATCTATCTATCTATCTATCTATCTATCTATCTATCTATCTATC